GCCATGCAGCATCCAAGGGCTCAGAAAAGCCCCAGTCCCATGGTGCAAACTCCCTCCCTCCGTGCAGTAGGGGATGGATTTGTCCATGCTGATCCCCAAACCTTCTCCACAAGCTCCTGGACACACGAGGGACAAAAATGACACAAACCTTTAGATCACTGGCCTTACTTGACCTGGGTCCTTTCATAGCATGTTTGGGATGTTTTGAACCTGCTCAACACCTCTCACCATCTCCATCTGGTTTATCTGGACCATGGTTGCCAGTTCATGGGGGTACTTGGGGCCAGTCGGACACCTTCAGAGCACAAGGCTCTGGCCTTAGCAAAACAGCAGTGTCATTCGGGCCTGGGAAGAAAATATTGGCAAATAACGGCCTACCCTTTGGTCACCCTCCTCCTCCAGCTATTTATCCCAAGATATCATATCTCGGAGCATTGCTTCATTTCCTACTCGCTTTTCTAACCGAGGCCTTTAAATCATATCCCTGCAGCTGAGGTCACAGAGGGATGCGTAATCCTCATTAATGGTGACGCAGCTGTTACCTTGATTTACCTCATCCCTTCTTCTTTCACTTTTTTCTTTCTGTTTGCTGCTTTCCCTTTCCATTTCTTCCTCCCTCCTGGTCTCAGCGCAGGAGAGAGCTGGCAGGAGCCCACCAAAGCGGAGCCTCCTGGGGTGCAGCCTGCTTTTGGGGATGTCAGGAGTCTGGGGATTTCTCCTGGACCAGCAGCACCACACTCCCTCCTGGCCAGGGATGCCGTGGGCAGCGGGAAGGACTGGCTCCAGGCTGCCCCATCCTCACCCCCTAGAGTCCTTCCCCTGGGGCTTGTCCAGGTCAACACATGGAAATGACCAGATTTAATTCAGCTCCGTGTCTGAAATGTGGAAATAAGGACCGCTGAAGGGTCCCAGGGTAAGGACAGAGGCTAGGACTGATAAGTCTTTTGACTGTGTTTAAAACAAAGTCCCACATGTGGGCTTTCAAACCCAAGTGCTGCTGCTCTTCGTTCCCTCACAGCCGCACCAAAACCACCATCGTGCCCCAATGTCCGTGGCTGGAGGAGCCCCTGCCTCCCAGTTTCCACTCTGCAGGGGACAGGCTGGGGGGTACAGGGGGGCACAGACCAGTGAGCACAGGAGTCACCCGCCGAGGGGCTGCCCAGCACCTCCCCATTGCAGGACTCAAGGGCTCCAGCCCCAATTTACGCCCCTGCCCCCTCCCCTGCCCTGCGGCCGGGCACCGCTCAGGCAGAGCTGTGGGGCAGAGCAGGATCCAGAGGAACCAAAATCCTCGGTGTGTATTTGTACTCACACCAAAGGGAAACAGAGAAATGGAAATGCAAACCACCTCAAACCCTCTTGAGCTTCCCTGCCTGCGTTTGGAGAGCTGACACAAGGGACTGATACTGCAGATCAGCAGTTTCTTCCCCTTCCACTCATGTATCGCTGGGAGCGCAGTGAAGCCCTCCAGCAGCCGGACCCACACCACTTCCCACTTCAACCCCTTCTTTCTGTAGGGCCAAACAGTGCCTCTGACACCCGTCTCCAAGAATACATGTTTACTGCACGGAGCAGAGAACCACGAAGGGGTTTGGACCCAACCCATGCGCTTTCAGCCAGACCCTTCCCGATCCACGTTATCCTTCATCTCCCCAGCGCATAATCAGGCTCTCCAAACACAGCGTTCTCAGGTCCCAGCCCAGAGCTTGGAGCCTCCCGAGAGGAATATGCTAAAAAAAGAAAGAAAAATACTACATTGCCAACTGAAGTGAGTGCTGAAAGGAAGGAGATGCCAGGAGCACTTAAACAAGAATTCGAGTCCGAGGGGACGCTCGGGTGTGTGTTTTCAATCCGCAGATGGGAGACGTGTTCATTGGGAAATGACTGCCACTCACCGTTCGCTTTAGACCTCGTAGTTGATGTCCCAGAAAGTGAAATGGCCATGACGAGGACATCCCCGCCTATATTAGAACTTTCTCCTGGGACGGATGGATTATTGCAGTGCATAGTAAAATGGTGCCACTCCTCCTTTGGCTCCAAAACCTGCGTTTGCAGCTCGAACCTGCCAAGTTGGAGGTGAGCAATTTTACATGGGTGATCGGTCCTGTGGGCAGCAAGGGGAGTTATTTGGGAAAATCGAGTCAAGATATCAGGGGGTTCAGGACTCCCTTGGGTGCTGCAGGGTGTCCTGCAGCACCTGGACCCAGCTGGCAGCACCGTGCCCTGGTGCAGAGCATCGCTCCCACGACAGCAGCATCCCACAGCCCCGTGCCAGCCCCAGAGGCAGGGTATCCGCTGGCACGGACCCAGCCCGGTGCCGCAGCGGTGGGATGCTCCCGCTGCTCCCGTTGCACAGAGTGCCCAGGACCAGGCTCCAGCTGGGGCTAACAGGGGAGCTCAACATCAGCTGAGCTATCCCAAATTCTGCTGTTTAAGGGTGAAGCTTCAGTTACCCCGCTACAGAGGGACTCTCTCCAAACAACATGCCTGCAGCTACGCCGGGGTGTATGGAGGTGCAGACCGGGGGCTGTCACCTCCCTGGGCTCTGTAACCAGCCCCACGGGGAGGGACGAGCTCTCCAAACACAGCGCAGATGCTGATTCACAGGGATATCTCCCAGCACTGATGGCTCGGGCTGCTGGGGGAACAGAACCTTTTGCAGCACATTCCAGATCTCTGCTGAAAAGCAATTACTGATGCTTTTACCTCTGTGCAGAGCTGCACGAATAATGGACCATGGTGCTGCAAGCTGCAACAGGTCAGGGACAGCACCCTGGCTCACCCCAGGCTGCGTGTGCTGGGCTGGGCATCTTGGCTGCTGGTTTGGGTGTGTGTTAATGTGCGTGTCTATGCATAGGCTATAATGCGTCCTGGAGAAACAGCGGCAAATCCAGGAGATCAGAGGCTGGACGTGGATGATGAAGCTATTCCCCTCTCAAAAGGATGCAGCTAAACAGAAGATTCAGCTCCCATCCAAAATCCACCAGTTCAAAGCCAGCTATTTCTTGGGAATTGCTGGCACGTGGCTCTCCCGCTGCGCAGGCGCTACCCACCGGCACAGCGGCTGCAGCACCATGGGCTGGCAGCGGTCACTGCTCCCGGCAAGTCCCAGCCTGTTTGCACGGTGAGATCCAGCCTACTGGAAGCACCAATCTCTGTAAATGTGGGGAGTGAGGTTCTGCCGCATTAAGTCACAGCTAAGCGGAGACTGTTCAGTCATCCCTGCAGCCCTGTGTCATCCCTAGGTCCCGGTTTCACCGTCGCAGTGACATTCCCACGGGGACTCCCCCCGAGTTGTGCAGTGGAAAGGAGAAAAGGGCAGCAATGGGAGCTGGTTCAGCCTGTCGGAAACAATTCCTGCCCAGCAAGTGCTTCTTGTCCCCAGTGCTCGGCGAGCAGCGGGGGCTGAGCATCTCTGTCCCACTGCCACCATGGGGACCAGAGCAGGAGGGTGCAGCCAACCCCTGTGTTGCTTAACCAGGAGGTCCTGAGCCCCCAGAATAACCATGTTAGGGCCGGCAGCATATTTGGGTATGGCCTGACCTTGTTGATGTCCACAGATGCCGCTTGCTTGGCTACCCAGAGGCCTCAGAGCACTTTCACAGCAGCCCGCATCCTCCCCACTTGTCCACGGCACCTCTTGGAGCTCAGCGCTTTCCCTGGGGGCACCCCCAGCCCACCCCACGCACTCCAGCATTCACGCTGCCTACGCCAGGGCTCTGCAGAGCGATGGTGAGCAAAGAGGAACTTCAGCTCATCTCTGCTTTGCGCCCAGGTGGTTGCAGGAGGCTGCCTGGGGTGCACCTTGCCTGCCCATGGACCAATTGCTCCTCGTGTAGTCAGCGATGCTTAAAGTCCAAATGTGAGCGCAGGGCTGTGGCTGAGCTTGTGAGCCCACGGGGCTGGCGGAGACAAGAGGGAGGCTGATGCCTGCAAGCGGGGCTACTGCCGCCACGTGCCACTGAGCAAGCACAGACGGCGCAAGAGAAAGGCTGGGAAACTCCCTCGGACAAGCAAATGAAGATGGGTGGAAACATTTTCTGCATTAATTGCACTGCTCTAATGGTGAGAAAACATAGAGCAACAGTGGCAGGAGGAGGGTGGTAGATTTGGGGGGGATGCTCTAACAGCAGTTAGGAGATAGATGGCCTGTGCAACTGTTGCTTGTTGCTGAGCCTCCCCTCCTTTTGGTTCTATTTGTTTTTTCTTGCAGCATTGAAAGCTCTTGTGATTTTTGTCACATGTCCGCCAGTGTTTGCCACTTCCCACAACATCCCAGGGCCCACCATCAGGTGACCACACAAGGCTGAAAACCCTTCCTTCTTTCTTTTGCTAACAAGCCTGCAGTCCCTGCGATTGCTGGGCAAAACCTGAAGCCGTGACCCCAAAGCATTGCTTGGAGTTGCCCTCTTGAAAGCCCCGTGAGCTGGCGAGCTGGCTCAGTTCCTGCAAGCTCCAGACCTCTGGCTAAGGGAAACCGGGGAGGAGAGAGGAAGGCTTTTCCCCAGGGCTTATTTCTAAGCTCTGGTTGCTGAATGCAGCAGCGGGGCAGCGCAGGGGCAGTGCAGTTCAAGGGCAGTGCAGTACAGGACCAGTGCAACGCAATGAAATGCAATGCAATGCAATGCAACGCAATGCAATGCAATGCAACGCAATGAAACGCAACGCAACGCAATGAAATGCAACGCAACACAATGCAATGCAACGCAACGCAATGAAACGCAACGCAATGCAATGCAACGCAATGAAATGCAACGCAACGCAAAGAAATGCAACGCAATGCAACGCAATTCAAAACAACGCAACTCCGCACAGCACGCGCCCTCCCACGGGCGGCGCCCGCGAGGCCGCGGCAGCTGTCCCGCCCCCCGCACACGTGATCATGTCACATGCCGGAGCCCCTCCCGGCCCCATCTTCCATCCAATGAACGGACGGGTAGGCGGTACATCCGCAAGGTGATTGGTCGAGGTGGGTGTCAGTCCGCGGGCAGGGCGGGGCGGAGCGGAGGTCCCAAGTTGGGAGGCTGCGGTGCGGTGCGGTGCGTGGGCTGGAGGGGGCCCGGGGGGGGACATCGAGGGTTTTGAGGGCGGTGGGTGCCGCGGGATGCCCGGGTCTGTACCCCGGGGAGCGGGGGTTGCGTGGTGCAGGCCGGGGTGCGCACCTCAAGCCGCACCGGGGGGTGCAGGTGGGCTCCCCTTGCAGCGCAATGGCGGCGGGGGTGGGGGGGGTGCAGGATACGGCCCTGCCGGGCTCTGGGGTTGAGGAGGTCCCCAGGCTGTGGGGTGGCTGCTTGCAGCCCTTGGGCAGGGTGAGCCCTTCGCCGGGGCCCTGTCAGGGACACGCGGCCAGTCCCTGTGAGTAGGTTTGCTGGAGTAATGGGAAGCGGAGGGTTGTTCTTCTGCAAAGGGACTGACCCTTTGCCAGGACTTTTCTCTCATTCCCACCGTTTGGGGCTTTCCAGGGCTGGATACAGGCCCGAGGGGCACCTGGGCAGGTCCTGCGCCTCTCACCCAAGGGTTGGTAACTAAACCCTGCCCCAGAGCACCCAGCAGAGCCCAGCGTGAGGGGAGGGAGAAGTCTGCTCTAGCTCAGAGGGAAGGGGATTTTGGGGATGGCGGTGGCAGGAAACTCAGGGTGGTTCCCGTGTGCCAGCAGGGATGGCCGGCAGGAGCCAGGACCGGAGCCTGCGGGAGGAGCTGACGTGTGCCATCTGCTGCGAACTCTTCAGCGAGCCCGTCATGCTGGACTGCATGCACCATTTCTGCAAGGCCTGCATCCAGGGCTACTGGGAGAGCTGCACCCGCGTTCCCTCCTGCCCCCAGTGCCGCCGAGAGTTCCCCAGCCGGGCTTTCCGCACCCACTACCTGCTCTCGGGGCTGGTGGAGAAGGTGCGGCGCTGCGGATCCACGGAGCACCGGCACAAGATGCAGGTGAGTGGCTTCTGCTCGGCTGGGGGAGAAGGGGACAGGCACCACGTGAGCCCTGTGCCGGGGACCCCTGTGCGTGCCTCACCTGACCCGAGTGCAGTGACATCTTTGTCTCTTCCTTACTCATTCCCTCTCCCTATTTCCTTCCAGCTGCCTGTCTTTCAGACACTTTCTTCTCTTGCATTTGTTTTCCCTCACTGCTGTGCCTGACTTCTACTGCAGCCTCGTTGTTTCTCGTGTAGGGACCACGCAGCCAGGGGTGAAGACTGCTTGTGCCGGGTGTACTGCCTGAAGGGTCAGTCCTTGCACAAGTTGGTTCGCAGCACACAGGGTTTAAAACTTCTGCAAACAAGATATCCCAGGTTGGAGCTCCCAGTCTTAAAAATAAACTTGTCTCATTATGTGCACACTTACAAGGTTCTCAAGCCTGTGCATCAGGTGCTTTCTTCTTAGTACCTTTCTTTATAAGAAATCTTGTTGCAGCTTCCCTCTAATGCTGGCCTCAGGAATTAGGATTGGTCCTGAATCACAGCAGAGCAGTGAAATGGTCTCCTCACCTTCTTTTCCTTGTTCCTGCAGAAGCACCTGGAAGATGCTTTGCAAGCTCGTCAGAAGGAGATGGAGAACTTCTTGCGGAGGAAGCGTGCGACGCAGGAAGAGATCTGTGGCCTGACGGTAACGCCCTGTGATAGCTGCTTTTTGTACAGCCTCTGGATTAATGTTCATAGAGGATCTGTGTATCACTTCAGCTGAGATTTAGCTCAGCTTCTTGTACCAATCTAGTCGAATAACTATGTAGGGATCTGAACAAACTCCCCCATATGTAGGCCAAAGCCCATCAATACTGAACATTCAGTAGAGGCTTTGCGAAGAGCCATTAAGCAGTCATTAATACAGCATTTACAAGGTGCGTTGGTACAGCAGAGCTGAGACAGGACGAGTGGTGAGAGCTGTCAGCTGAGCAGCCTGTTTGGGCCCTGCAGCGCTGCCACTTTGGGAGAGGGTTAATTCTTGGAAGCTCTAAAATCCTCTTGTGTGTCTGAAGGGGTGGCAGCAAAGCTGAAGAAGCTGGGTCAGCAGCAGTGTTGGCACTGCAGAGAGCAGTGGACTTGTCACAAGGACCACATTTGGATTCTCTGCGAAGTTCCGAGATGATGTGAGGAGCCTGAGTGCTCTCTATGGGCTTGAGTGGCACCAGGCTGCCTACTTGTCACTGATCAATGAAGCAAGAACAGCCACAGGCTGACTGCGTTTCCTTCTTGAGTGATGTAAAAGTATTAAAAGCCAAGGAAGGAGAGTAAGGAAAACGGAAATAGTTCAGAGGTGAGATAAAACTGATGGGAGACTGTCTTCTGATGGGAGTCTCTGATCCCCCTGCCTGCACTGTTTCATACCTCTGTCCCACTGCCAGATTTGGAATAGACCTTTGAGGTTAATGAAGAAGTATTAGCAAATAACCACATGTGGCTGATGTCCTGTTGCAGTGGAAGAGCTGACTCAGACGTGTTTCAAGAGTAAAGGAGCAAATTGCTGATCTGAACAGGGAGGCCATGCATGTCCTCTGCAGTTCTGGTGTGTCAGCACAAGCACCTGCTGGAGCAAAGGGAGACTGGGGTGCTGTGCCGGCTGGTGAAGCTTCAGATGTACTCTGGGGGAGATGGGTTTCCTGCTGGTAGAAAGGGATGTGCATTTCAGGAAGCACTCCTCAAGAAAATAACGAGGGCTAAGGTTGCACTTAGAGATTAGAAGCTCAAAGATTGGGAAAATAAAAAGTCATTGGCTGTCTCTTGTAAACAGGCAGGAAGGCAGTGAGAGCACCACAAGGCTGGCTGGCCGACTAAACAACTGGAAAAAAGTGACCTCTGAAAAGAGCTGAATGGGATTTTATCAGCCTTAACTACAGAGATTAGTTTGTGCAGCTCCCCCGTCTCTCCCATACAAACAGAAGCCCTGAGAGACAGAGGTATCGGAGAAAAAGAACAAGTTGCCAGTGTCAGGCAGCTCTGCGGAGTCTGGCACGATTTGAAATAAATCCTAACTAACCTGAACAGCTGAGTCTGCAGCTCCAGAAAAGCAAAAGAGCTCCAGTATTGCACACAAGCAAATTCCTGGTGGTGTGGGAGAGGTCTGTGGGCTCCCACTGTGGCTGTGTGCAAGGGGTTTTTTTAATTTTTTATTTATTATTATTTTTTCCCCCTTTGGCTCTGCAACCTTGAAAGTTGTCCTTGTGTCCTGTTCTCTATCCAAGAAGTTGTGGGTATGTCTGAGACTCTTTGATTTCCCAGACTCTGTAAGCAGGGTAGTGGGCCCAGCCATCCTGTGTACCTCCTTGTGTGTTGTAGTTGCCAGACTCATCTTCTGCCTTTTCCCTCTGCTCAGAAGGTGTCTGGGGAGCTGAACTTCAAGATCCGGGCAGAGTTTGCCCGCCTTCATCAGATCTTGGAGGAAGAGGAGAGAGCTGTGCTGGCAGAGCTGGGTGAAAAGGAAGAGCAGTCGATGGCACAGCTGCATGGGGACGTCCACCGGTTGGAGGAGGGAATGTCAGTGCTTCAGAGGGACATAGAACGCATAGAGCAGACCCTGAGCAAGATGGAAGAAGTCTCGTTGCTGGAGGTGAGTGTGCTTGGCTGACCCTGGCAGGAGGCTGAGGGATGTTTCGGGATCCCAGTTTGGGATGGGGAAAGTTCTAAATGACAGCACTAGGCTGTACCTGGAAGTTGTTCTCACTGCCATCCCTCTGGATTATCAACCCCAATCCCTTGGAGTCTGGAGGCTTTAGCCACAAAGGGTCTGGTGATCTCTCAGATGTGGTGGGTCTTGGGAGCCTTACTCCTTCTCTGTCACCCCTGTGAAATTGCCTTGGCCCCAGTGCCCCGTCAGTTTCCCCCAGGGTGTGGGTCCTGGTAGGTTGGTTTCGTCTCTCTCTGCTGCATGACAGCAGGAGGCAGGACAGGGAGTTTATTTGTGCAGCTACATGAATTACAGACAGTGACTGCTAATTCTCTCTGCTCCTCACTGCAGGTGGAGAGCCTGGATATCAGGTACGTGTCTGGCATGAAAGAAGCCAATTCCCTTTTCAGGAGCTTATCTCTGTCCCTGGCTGGGGCCACATGGGGGAGGGATCTTATCTCAAGTTTTAAAAGCATCACAAATTGCTCAGCGAGCTGCTGGTGCTGTGCCACGTGGGGGCTGGTCCCCAGCATGTTGGACGCTCTTCCCAGGGAGCGTGTGTGTTTAGATGGCTGGGCTGGAAGAGCAGGTGGAGGAGACATGCTGGTTTGGAATGGATGCAAGAGCCACGCATGCTGCAAGCAGGAGCAAGGCTGATGCCGCAGACTTGGGTGCTTTGGCATTTCTGCCCTTTCTTAGCCTCTTACAACTCACAGGGCTGCAAAACTGACCCCGAGGTGCAGGTTTGTCTGAGGCTGCAAGTAGCTGAGGGCCAGAACTGCCATAGGGGAGTGTGTCCCTGTCCCCTGCCTCCCTGGGAGCTGCAGTGGGATGCAGCCTGGCTCTGCAGGCCTGGTGTGTTCACCCATGCAAGAGTCCTGTTTGGGTGTGCTGGGTGCTGGTCTGCCATGGGTCACTGCTCCATGAGTGGTGCTGCCAGATCTGTCTCAGTCCACAACACTTCTGCCCCGAGCCACTTGCCATGCTGGGGGTAGCACTGCAGCAGGCGGAGCAAGCAGCTGCCAGGGAGGTTTGTGTCCCATCTTTACCAAATCTGTCACATGCCGGTAGCACAATGCAGTCCTGACCACGCTCTTCCCATGTGCCTCACTAGCGGCACAGCGGAGTGGTTGACTGCCATTCCCTCTGCTCCAGGCCCTCGGTGCGCGTTGAGACCCAGCCTGCCTTCAACCTGGAGCACTACAGGGACAGCCGCAGCGGCCCCTTGCAGTACATCTTCTGGAGACGGATGCTGCAGTCCATCTGCCCCGGTGAGTGGATCGGTGTGAGGGATGGATGTGCTGGATGGTGGCAGGGCCGGGGATTCTCTGCAGAGGGATTATGTAATGGGTAAAATGCCATGCTCGATGTCTCTACAGCTCCTGCCCCGCTCACCTTCGACCCTGAGTCAGCCCACCCCAACCTGGTCTTCTCCAGAGACCTGACAGCAGTGACAGAGAGGAATCGAGCCCAGCCTGTCCCCAGTAGCCCTCGGCGCTTCCGTCAGTGTGTCAATGTCCTGGGCTCACAGACCTTTGACAGTGGCCGGCACTACTGGGAGGTCTGGGTGGGCAGCAAAACCAAGTGGGACCTGGGGGTGGCCGCCGAGGCTGTGGACCGGGCGGCAAAGGTCAAGCTGTGCCCGGAGAACGGCTACTGGACGCTTCGCCTGCGGAACAGGACCGAGTACTGGGCCACCGCCACCCCCTGGGTGCGCCTGACTCCCCAACGCCCCCCCCGGAAAGTGGGGGTCTTCCTGGACTGCCAGGAGGGCACTGTCACCTTCTTCAATGCCGGGGACATGTCCCACCTCTTCACCTTCCACCAGGTCTCTGCGGAGAGATACTGCCCCTTCTTCAGCACCTGCTTCAGCGACGGGGGGGCCAACATGGAGCCCATGCGCCTTTGCCACCTGGCCCTGTGAGGGACGAGGAGGAGCGGGGAGCTTCGGGGACACCAGCCTGGCTCCTTGTCTTTGCCGGCTGGCTGCCTGGGGCCATGCTGGAGGCCAGTTTTGCACACACGGACCTGGTGGGTGTTGGAGGGGCTGTTTTGGATTCAGTTTTGAGAGGAAGGAGAGGAGTAAGTCTCTTCTGAGCTCCTGTCTGCCCTCCCTTCTCTGTGCCATGGGCTGCAGGTACCACGCTGCATTCCCGGAGGTGCCTGGCACTCCTTGAAGAACAACCTTCCGTGCCTGAGCATTGCACAGTTCAGTAACCACAGCCACAGGACTGCAGTGGAGGTGGCAGCAGGCTGCTTGCACCTCCTGTCCCTCCATGCTCCAACCCGTAAACCCTGTGGAGGAGGGCACTGGTTCTGGAGCACCATCAGGTGCCTCTTGACGCTCAGCTCTGTGTCCCAGTGATGGGCTACCTCTGCCCAAAGAGCTTCTTGGGGAAGGGCTCCGGGCTGGCGGCAGAGGGAGCTCGGTGAACGGTGTGGGACCCACTACAGGGCATGGCGGTGCTGCCTCCCTTCTACTTGATCACCATTAAAGCTCATTAGACAAACCACTGCCTGCTGGACCTGCTTATGGCTTGCATGCTGGGGGAGGTGGAATCTATCGTACTGGGGTGCAGCACAGCCTGAGGGAACAGAGCAGCCCCCTGGTCCCTGCTTCCAGCCTGGGCTCCTTCTCTCTGCTTGCAGCACAGGAGGCACGAAAGAGCCACTGCTCTCACTCAGCCCTTCCCTTGGAGTGTTGCCTGCACATCTTGCAGCAGCTTTTGGTCTTTTGCTTACCCCCCCTGTGTCAGGCTGCTTGGGAATAGGGTGGGGGTTTGGCAGCCCCATGGGGTAGGGAGGTCTGTCTGAGCCCAGCCCTGGCCTTAGGCTCTTGGGTTTTAAGATTTGGTCTCCTCTGGCCTGGCTGGGTCTTAAGGATGTGTAGATGTGAAAAAGGCAAAAGTCCCATTTCAGGTGAACTTCACAAAAGCCCGGGCAGCCTTTGCTGCTGGGAGCAGGTGGTCCCAGCATGGCTCTTTGCCCCACTGGCAGCCCTGCCCCTGTGGGAGGGTGGCCTTGGGCTCCTGGGGGGGCAAGTGGAGTGGATTTGGCTGCTGCAGTTTATGCTGGCGGGGTGCTGGCCATGTCCGTGCCTTGCTCACAAGTCACCAGAGTCGACTTGAGGCAGGAGGTACTGGGGTGGGTCCCAGCCTGGCTGGTGGGAGTGATGGGTGGGAGGGAGGATGGCAGTGCCTGGGGTGGGTGGAATTGTCATGTTTATCCCACTCAAGTTCATTCCAGGGTCAAAGCAGAGGCCAGAGCTACCCTGATCCTGTGTAGCTCCGGTGCTGGCTGGAGCCTGCAAATTCCTCCTCTGCAGAGGCTCAACTTTCTGTGCTGTAGAAAGGGCTCGGTGTGAGGGCTTTCCAGCTCCCACAGCTGGGCACAGGGACATTTGTCAAAGCAAGTCTTTCACTGGTCATTCCCCTGCCCAGCGGGGATGGGACAGGGGACCCTGTCCTCCCACAGTGCCACGAGTGACATTCCCCCCTCCTGTGCATCACCGCTGCAGTGTGCCAGGGCTGGGCTCTGCTGTAGTACCTGGTTTTGGGGTTGCTTAATGCCTGTGCCGGGGCAGGAAAAGACTTTGTGCTCAGCCGGAGGGGAGGATGATCCATGCAAGATGCAGGCAGACGTGCCCTCCTGTGCAGAAGCACTAGGCAGCCTGGGGCTCTGCAGGCATGGGGTGGAGGTGGGTGCAGAGGGGACCCAGTTATTGGGAAGCTGCTGCTCTGTGCAGCCTTACTCGGGGGCCGGGTGTGCTTGGAGGGGATGCCAGGGGTTTCTGCTCCCTCCCGGTCCCCAGCTGGGCTTTAGCTGGTGAGCGAGCTCTGCTCCCTCCCTGCTGAGCCCCTGCGCTGGACTCGGCCTCCTCTCCCACCTCCTGCCTCGTCCTCTCACTGCCCTCCAGCCTCAGCTGAAATAAGAGTAGAGAAGAAAGAGCTGTTGGCTTGGAAATGCTGCTGTGAGCGGGGCTGTCATCCCCCCCTGCAACGGCTGGGAGCCTCAGCGGGAAGGTGAGGCTGGTTTGATTGCAGCAGGGAGCTGCGGCTGGGGGGGGGGGGGGGGGGGCGGAAACCCGTCGCCTCCCCGACCTGCCCCAAAACCACAGCCATTCCCCAAAGCGTGAGGGGGAACGGATCCACCAGGCACTGGCAGGCGGCGAGCGCAGCCGAGCTTTGGCGGCTGCTGGCAGGGAGGAGGGCGGCCGCCAGCTCCCGCTGCCCACCGCTGCCGCGTGCCGCGTGGGCCGGTGTGGCGGCACGGGCTGCGAGCAGCTCGCTGCGACGTGTGCCAGTGCCATCGCTGCCACCTCCTACACCTTCCCCTTGCCAAAGGCAGAGCTGGAGAGCAGTGAAACCTGCTCATCCCAAATCCCTGGGCTGAACAGGCTCCCGAGGAAGCACATCCTTCCTCCTCCTCCTCCTGCCGGGCTGTGTGCGGTGGCTGTGGCGTGCCGCTCCCAGGCAGAGCTGCGTTTTGGGGTATAATGTCCTCGCCTGGCCCTGCCGGCGGGGAAGGGGTCTGGCAGGAAGGCTGGGGCAGGCAGACCCACTGCCCTGCACGCCGCATGTACAGCGGCTCCTACGTGCGGGGAAAACGCTGCTCTGAGCTGCTGTACGTGCAGCCTTAGCCCGGTGAGGAAATGCTACCTGCTGTTAAATCCTGTCTAAAAAAATGCATTTCACTGATAAGCCGTAGCACGATGGAGCAGAAACCATAGGTGTGGTGTGAATGTAGTGACTGGCTGGGCCTGGCCCTGGGTTCTGGCAGGAGGGGATGGGGATGGGAATGTGGGCACCATGGGGGCAAAGAACCCCTTTCTGCTCCAGTGTCCGGACTGTGCACCTGCCAGGGCTGGCTCTCGCCGTCTGCCCCCAGGACTAGGCTGTATTTTCCTTGCGGGTTATCTTATCGATTTGTTCCTGGGTGTCCTCAGAGCCACCCCACTCTGCCTCCCCCATAGCCGTGTCTGGGGCTGGGCAGTGTCCGGCAGCTCCTGCCCCAGCCCCCTTCTGCGATGTGTCTGTGTCTTTATCCTGTGCTTTGGGGAAGCCTTTGCTTCCTCGGGTCCCCCCCGCCCACGTGCTGGAAGGGGGACAAGATTTTAAAATAAGATCCTTTTGTTTCCCAGGGCGGCAACAATGGAAAGGTCCCATCGGTCCCACAGTCACCCTGTGTTTGTGATGGAAAATTCCCCATCGTCGCAGGGTGAGCCCTCCCCGGCGTCCTGCCATTAGATGGCAGCATGGACGGGCTGGTCCTGGCCACCACCGCCTGCACGGTGCCACATTTGGACTGACATGGATGGGGGATGCCAAAATCCCTTGATTTTTGGAGTGCCAGAGGATCCCCCTCCCCGCAACCCCTCTGCTTTTCTCCCACGCAGCTTCTCCAGGCAGCCCTTCGACTGTGCGTTTTGCCCAGCATCTCAACGGTGCGATGTGATTCATCCCTCCATCGCTGTCCTCACCTCACCACCTCGCTGCTCATCTCTCAGGTACACGATGACCCCTGATGCTCACAGTGGCCCCCAGTGTGGCTGCGCTGCCACGGCAGGGAGCCCGGTGGCTGCCCCATCTCTGATCACAGTCCCCAGCCCTGGGGAAGGGTCTGATCCCACAATCTCAGCTCTTCTCCCTGTGGCAGTGGGCAGTGCTGCCCCTCTGTATGGTCCCCAGCTTTGCCTCATCACCCCGTCATCATGGCGAGTTTTAAAAAATCTCTCTCCGGAAACTTGCAAGGGTTTGGACACCCAACTGGGAAGGAGGGACACCTTTGCTTTCTGCTCCTTTGGGATCAAAGAGGGAGGTGGTCCAAGATGAGTGTGCTGAAGAGCGATGTCATTGGTGTTTCAGGTAAAATCTCACTAATTGGGTTGGGGGGAGTTGGGTAAAATAAACTCTGTGGCTCAGAGTTCCTCTGAGGGCTCCAGGAGAGGGACAGGGTGATTTCTTCCACGGGTTTGGCAATGAGAGCAGTTGAGCGCACGAGAAGTTTTCATGCCTTTTCGAAGCCATGAGCACATGGTTCTCATTCAGGCTCTTTCTTCGCTGTCTGCAAGCGTGCATAATTAATAACCCTCCGGGGTGCAGCGCGGGGCTGTGTTAATTTATCTATTCAGCGCTCGCTGGGTGCGCAGGCAGCTGGCCAGGGCTGTGCCCTCCGTGCCACCGCGCTCCCAAAGCTCTGCCATCGCCTCCGTCTGCAGCGTGTTCACAGTTGGTTCGCGCCGAGCCGGAGCTGCTGTCGCTGGCAGTGGCAGCGGTGTGGGGGCAGCGCCGCTGGCACGCATGGGGCGGCATCATTCCACTGCCAAGGCCGCGGTCGTGGGCATGGATTTCGGTGTACACCTGCCAGAGAGGGGTGCGTGTGCCGCATGTAACGGTGCTGGGGGGCAACGTGGCTGCCCCACGCAGCTGGCAGCGTGGACGGATGGACGGCATGAGCGGGGGGCTCTAGTGCACCCCCAAATGAGTAGGGGTGCGAGTGTGTGCACAGAGGTGTGAGAAACTGTGCGTGCATCTTTGTATGCCCTGGGGGGTGCAGGAGGAGTGGGGGTTCGGGGGTGTGTGCATATGGGTGGGAGGTGTGGGCTTTGGGGAGGGTGCACGAGGGTATGTGCGCCAGCAGATGCGAGATGCGCGTGTTCACGAGGTGTGCGCTCACCGGTGTGAGAGGGTATTGGTGTGCATTCCCTCCGGCCCGAGGGGTCGGGACGTGCACCCAGACGCACGCAGGACAGAAGGAGATGTACAGGGGTGCGCGCAGGGCGCGCGTTCGCATGACTATGCACGCAGGTGGGTGCGTGGGGGGGTGCTCCCGTGTACCTGCGACCGGGAGGATGCGCACCCACGCACCCAGCTGCGGGACACCCACGCACCCAGCTGCAGCGGGGCGGGATGCGCACCCACGCACCCAGCTGCGGGACACCCATGCTCACAGGTGCAGAGGGAGGCAGGCACCCACGCAGGTGCGGCAT